CCCCATTCACAGCTAAGAAGTGCTACCTCTTTCAGGGACATTGTGGTTCTCACCTTCTGCTGTGATAAATTGTTATAAATTTATCATGCTCTGGTATATGGTGTTTTTGTGATTGCGATTTTGCTTTTGTACCTTTAATTTTGTTGGTTCTGTCCACTGTCTGGGTTAATTTGAAAGTACAATTTGCGATCTGTCAGCATGGAGAGTTAACAGATATTGTGGGGATCTCAAACTCTCTGTGCTTCAGAAAGGATAGCTTGATGGCAGAAAAGCGTCCTCTGTCCAGTTTTCTTGCGTTACTGCCCAAGGCCTTGAAATAAAGACCACATGACTTTGTGGTTGTATTTTGCAGGTTTGATCCCCAGCTCACCATTTCGGCTGGTGTGGAACCATCCAGTCATTGTGTTTCTCTCTCTCTCATCCCCCTCCCACTCTCTCTCTAAAAAGAAAAAAGATTATCTACCCTTCTCCCTTCTCGCTAAGATGAGTCTGTGCCTGCACAGCCCACCTTCCCTTATTGTTTCCTGCCTTTGCCTGGGGTGTTCCCCCTGCAGCTGGGCACACTGTGTTCTGCCCAGCAGCTGGCCGAGAGGAGCCCAAGGCAGGTCCCTGGGAAGGGTTGGGGTCCTGTGTCTGCCTGAGAGGAGCTTCCAGGGCTCTGCTCTCTCCATCCAGAGTCTCTCCAGCCTGCTTTCCCCATCCCCAGGCCTCTGGCCCACTGGATCTGAATCTACTTTATCTGGGAGAAGCCCCCTGGTGCTTTGGGCCCCACATCATTTCCCCTTAGGAAAAGTCTGCCTCTGGCAAGTTCACATACATCCCTGAGACCCACTGGTGTTCTTTGAGTCTATTTTCGCATTTTGGGGGTAATTTTCTACTTTGAATTTATTAAAAATAAAGCACACACCCTCCTCACCTTAACTTCCCTGCAGTCCTAGCGGGCACATGGGTTTTCCAGGAATTGGTTCTGTGTATTTTCAATGCTGAGAACATTCTGCAATGCAAGCGTTCCCAGCAGGAGGGGTTGGTCTCAACATGATACCACACGGGGGTGCATTCTGGTTGGTGTGCCCACCTCGCTAATTCTGGCCTGTGCAGAGCATACCCCTTCCCTGTAGTCAGGTGACGGACCCTGGGCTCTGGGGGACAGTGTGATGCTGGGGTGTGTGGTTGTTGGAGTTGTGAGGTTGGGGGCCTTGGACAGGTTGGTGAGGGAGTTTCCTATCGGCACATGGGGCAGGGTCCTTGAGTGGGAGGGCTGAGGGGTGGCTCTAGTGATGAGAACTTGAATCAGGCTGGATAGTTGTTCTAGTGAAGGACAGCCCACAAGCAAGGGGGCAGGGTAGCTGTGACAGGTGAAAGGAACTCAGGGGAAACGTGAGGCCAGGGGTGGTCAGTGGGGTCTCCCTGAGGAAGTGTGGGAAAGGGTGACAGACTCCAGATGGCAGCCTGTGGGGAGCCTGCCCTGAGCATTTCCGAGGTCACATTGGCTGGTGTGGACAACCAGGATCAGAACAACATTCGCCATGGTCAGGGAGTGACTGGGATCCTAGTGCCACATGCTAGGCTAGATTGCTAATTTACCCAAAGAGCCATGCACTAAGGATGGCTGGGCTTAGCCAATGAAAGCCCAGGAGAGGCACATTATCCCTGTGCTCACTGGTTGGAGCTTGACTTCCAGCGTCTTGCTCCTGGTGGTGAATTTGGCCTTTGCAATGTGTTCACAGCATCAGAGGCTCCAGTGCTGGGTCACCTGGCATCAGAGGCAGTGTCCCCGCTGGGCAGGGTGTCTCTGAGGCTGGCTGCGTCACTACAGGCCGTGACTGGGTCCTCCGTGCCTCCTGGACTCCTCTCTGCTTCCGGAGTGCAACCGGCCTCACTTCATTCGCCCTCCCGCCTGGGGGGTGGGTGCCTGTCCCACCTGCAGCCCAGGTCTCAGCGCCCAAACAGTGAGTGGCTTGAGGGTGCCACATGGTGGGAGAGGGTGACAAGCTGAAAAGCCACCGTGTGAGGCGGTGTGGTGTAACTGAGGAGGGAGGATGGGGGAAACCCAGGTCCGTCTTATCCCCAAAGGCAACAAAGAAGATGGAGCGAAGTTTTGTGTGAGGAGTTTTCCTTTCGCTTTCAGGAAATTGCTGCCATCCATGGTTGTGAACAAAGAGGGACATAGTGTGAGTTAGGGTTCTAGCCTTTTCTCAAAACTGCCCAGAGGAACAGACTAGAAGGGAGAGGCGAGCAGGAGGGCGGGAAGGAGGACCCTGTAGGTGATGAGGTCCCTGGCAGGTGCGCACTGGACCTAGCCCGGAGGGAGGCGGGCATCACCCGGCCCGGGGCTGGGCCAGAGACCTGAGCAGCCTGAGCCCCTGGGTCCTGGGGTGGGAGCCAGGCCCTCACAGCCCTTTAGTTCCCACAGGATCCTGCGGGTGCAGAGCCGCTGAGGGGCTGGGGCTGTGGAGGTGACTTCAGGGCCTCACACTCTTGTGGTCTCTGAGGTCGTGGTGCCTGTGGGGCCATCGGCCCCTCCTCCTGCCCTGGGACCTGGGGACACTCAACCCAGAAACCTGAGTCATGTGGGTGTGGACACTGAGGGCGCCAGCTCCCCTCCTGCAGGTGCTGGGCGGCCTCCTATGGCGGGAAGCCTTGGGCAGGCAGCTGAGCTGGGCGGAGGATTAGTACCGGGCAATACAAGGTCCTGGCAAAGGTCAGGCTCCCACCGGCTTCGCACCCTCGGCCCCCTCCCCAGGCCTCGCCTTAGGCAGCAGCCAGGAGAGCGCCTGGCTCTGACCCCGGGGAGGGTCTGGACAGCTGCCTGCCCTTCCCTCCCACAAAAACTCTGTGTTGATTTGAGAGAGAAGAAGGGGGAGGAGAGATGAAACGACTGGCGATGGGGGCGGGTCACTGGTTGGCTGTCCCCCTCGCGGCCGCCGCCCGCTGGACACTGTGCCTGCGCCCCGTGCACGGGCCTGACCAGCGATGGAACCTGCTCTCCCGGTTCCTCGCTCAGCGTCCACCACTGAGCAGCGCCTGCTGAGCTCTATTGTATATTTTTAATTAAATGTAATGTGTATTTTTATTGTCCATGGTGTTGAGATGTCTCCCATTCCCTGTGCATATGTTCTTTGGGGGTCTCTCCCGATCCCCCCTCCCCTGGGGGGGCCTGTCGGTCTGTCCCCGTGAACCCGGCCTCTCCTCTCATCTTCTCCCCCAGCGCCACTGGCAGCGCCAAGTCACCTTCACTCCCCAAGGATACAGCCAGGGCTGCGGGAGAAAACTACATCACCC